GGGGGGGGGGGAGGAGAAGTGGTGGGATGGAGCTGAGATGAACGCGCCCCCAGCCAAACTGACACGGGGCGCATTCACAGAAAGGGATCATTACCACACGGGTCTGCCTGCTTGAGCCCAGAGTGAGCAAAGCATCATCACGATCAGCTGTGTTGGGACATGTACCTGGCGGGCAGGCAGCCTCACAGGTTCTTACCCGGTGGTGGTCCACTGGGGGGTGGATGGAAATAGAGGAGGACCCACTCTGCGTGAATGTCTCCCTCCCCAGATCACTCCTTTGCGAGTCGTATGCATAGAGACTGCTGAACAAGTGAAAGCAGGAAACTCAGGCTCACCCCAAACACCACCTCCACTGGGAAGTGTCCCTGACTGCCCAGATGGAGTTGGGAATCGAGTCTTGCTCCGAATCCCAAGCATCTTGTACATCCCCTATTAAAGCAGCAAACTTATTCTATTATAATTGTTTGATGGTCACCTTTCTGCCCCCACTCGGCTCCCCACTCACTGAGAGCACCACTATGTCTTTCCATGTTCAGTGTTCACTGGCTTTGCCTCAGTCTCGGTGCTAGGCACCGAGTGCCTAATAAGTGCTTAATAGATATTTGTTGAGTGAATGAGCCATGAAGAGGCAACTCACACCCTAGTGTGCCCTGTCCCTCCCGTAGCTAACTCCCTGTTGCCCTGAAGGAAATTCAGAAAGGAGGGGCCTGGGGTAGAAGGCAGAGAAGTGGATGGAGGCTGTGGGCCTAGGATCCATGGACCTTGACCTTGACCTTGGGCACACTCCTAAACAAAGCGCTTGGACACTCGCTGGCTCTTGAAGAGCTTAGTATCTGGGAAGAGGGCTTTATGTGGTTTGAGCAGCACATTTGTCCTGTTCCAGGGAGGAAAACTGGTGGCTGTGGTTAGAGGAGCAAATGCCCCGCTGCTGCAGAAAACCATCCTAGACCAGCTGGAGGCCGAAAGGAAGGTGCTGGCTGAAGGCAGAGAACGGAAAGCGGTAAGGAGGCCCCTTCTGCAAACCACAGACTCGGGGCTGCTTGAGGCCAGCCATTCCCCCCCTGCCCCACTAACTTTCCTGGGCCTCTCAGCTGGAAGCCTCATTAAATGCCCGCTGAGTCCTCACAGAGCTCAGGGGAGAGCGTCATGCCCACGATGATGTGTGCATTTTATAATCCTCACCTGAGGATATTTTTTTCCATTTTTCATTGCTTTTCAGAGAGAGTGGAGGAGAGAAGAGAGAGTGAGAGAGAGAGAGAAACATCGATGTGAGAGAGACACATCGACTGGTTGCCTCCCCTACACGCGCCCGACCAGGGCTGGGGATCAAGCCTGCAACCGAGGTGCATGCCCTTGGCCGGAATCGAACCTGGGACCCTTCAGTCTAGAGGCCGGTGCTCTAACCACTGAGCAAACTGGCCAGGGCCGATGCATGCATTTTGAAGCCTTCTTTTAAAAAGCCGTCCCCTTCGTCCAGAATGCTTTAACTTCTTTTATTCATTTCCCTTTCCTCTCCCCCTTCGACTTGTCAGAGGGGTTTCTGGGTCACTGGCAATGAATTCAGAAATGAAAATAAGCAAGTATGGAATCGAGAAGTGGGTAGGAGTCCGGCCTCAGGGTGAAATCTCTCCTGGTGACCTGCTGCCCTCACCTCACATTCCTGAAAGTTTTTCTTGTGCTCCCGGAGGGCTCCGTCTTGAATTTAGAAATTAGGCTCTGTCAGGACCATGAGAAATAGGGTCACAGCTTGTAGTTCTGATACATTAATTCCATGATAACATAGACTGAGTTTTTCATAAATAATTGGCTGCCTTTGAAAAACAGCACACCCTAAATGGAGAGAAGTATTTCCTGGTGCTTTGAGCACCTACCAAAGGAGACTTAATGTTCAGTGCTCATTGTTCAAGTTCTCATGTTCAATTTCAAGTGGCAAAGCCCTGTTTTTACAGAATGGATTAGAATCAAATCATACTTTTCCCCACAGGAAACTGGCAATTTTCCCGCAAGAAAGACAATCACCAGTGCTGGTGCCTCCTCCAGGGAAAATGAGCTCTCTGCACTACTTCCTTGCACCGTGTAGGCAATCGCTTAATATTTACCTGCATTTCAATTCTTCCTTTGTCTTCTTGCCAACTCTGTACTTGTACTCAATGCCTGTGAAAACAGGCAGAACGTAAACCCTACGATCAGCACGGATTTCTTTGTCTTCACTCCCCCCCCATCCCGCACCATCCCGCATCTACTCAGAAGGGTCTCCTGCTTCCCATGACTGATCCTCTTGACCCCCTTTTTTGCTCTGTAGTTTGAACCTTTATTTGGGGGGTTTCTGCAGGCATTTGAAGGTTTTGTGGTAATTTAAATGAGCTAACCACTTCTGTTCATGACCAATTTGTACCAGATCAAAGATGAGGCTCTTTCCGAGGAAGAGGAACGCTTCTCCCACGAAAGGGACCGCGGTGAAGACGAGGGTGCGGGTGAGCGCAGTGCCAGCGGGCAAGGCAAGGGCAAAGCGGACTCCGAGCTGATGGGTTTAAAAGAATACGCGAGGAGTCAGTTTATGAAGCAATCTGAGCTCTGGGAAGGTTAACCAGAAAACACTTTGTCTCTAGTCACCTGACTTCCAACGTCCTGTCCGATCTCCCTTCTGTCCTTTAATGGCCTGGCCTCTCCGTCACTTTTCACGGCTTTTCCGATCCTGTTCAACTATAACAGGTGTGACTTTTATGGCAATTCCCGGGCCTTAGGAAAAGCTCCATTTAATAAAGTAGAGGAAAGTGACACTAATACTGTCAAGTAACACTGCTGGTGTTTCCTCAGTCCTTATTTGAGCTAAAAAGCACAAGTTTCTTTATTTTTGCCTTTTTTACTGAAGTGTCAGAAAGTCGGCGGCACTGAACACCGTCCCTCCCCAGGCCCTACACCCTCCCTTAGTCCCCAAGTGCCAGCTCAGGATCCCACGCGGCTGGGGCGCCGTCTTCCCGAACCTCCCCCCTGAGGGGAGCACCTGGGCCCCACAGTGCGCAGAGAAGCCAGGAGTTAGCGAGGCCGAGGCTGGGCGGAGGGAGGGTCCTGGACACCAGGGGGAGCAGGACGAAGCTCAGGGACGCAGCTGGACCGAGAAGGAAGACTTTCATCATCGCCTGAAGTAGAAAGGCTGTTTATTTGTGTGGGGGTAGTGACAACTGTTGGAGTTGGGTTCCATCTAACAAGGAAAGGGGCCCAGTTTAGGAGAGCAAGACAGTTCAAGTGTGAAGGGAAAAGTCATCGATTTAGCTTCTGTAGGAAACATTCGTTGCCTCCTTCTTGGATTTTCTCCTGTGTCTGCCCTCCCCCATTATTGCCTCTCACCTGCTGACCTGGCCTCTGTGCCCGCTCCTCCCTGAACTGCTCCTCACTGGGGCACCACTGACCTTCTTGGTGTCAAATCTAAGGTACCCTTTCCAGTCAGATCCTACAGCATCTTTCTGCAGACTTGGATGACGTTTATAATGTCTTCCTTCTCAAAACCCTCTTCTCTCTTGGTTTCTGAGCTGTCACGACCTTCTCGTTTCCCCCCTATGTCTCTGGCCGCTCCTCAGCCCCCTCTTCACTGCTTTCTTTTCATCTGCTCCCTTTTCAAGCTGGAGTCCTCCAGGCCCCTGCTCTGGCCAGTTCTCTTCTCACCGTAGATCTCTAAGCTGACCTCACTCACTGATCAATTTATCAGCACATTTACTGTAAGAGTCCCTTAAAGTCTAAGTGCTCACAGGATGTTGTAAGTGGTACTCACAGGAAAATTAACAGAGTCATTGCTTAAAATAATTCACACCTTGACAGTACTCATTTCTGAGATTTTCAGATATTGTCAAGTTTCACTGCAACACAACTGATGTAGAAGTTGAGAACAGAAAATAGGCCAGGGTGATAGAGAGTCTGTGGACAGTGGAGGTTGCTCCCCAAGTCCAGGTTTGTACAAACAGGAGTACCACAGGGATGGATTCATGGACTGGACACAGGGCTCCCACAGCTCCTGCGGGCCTGAGCAGAGGACTGTGATTATGTGGCATCTCCCTCTGCGCTGCAGCTGATTGGACCTCTATGGACACTGACCAAAGGACAGCCAGTCGGTAGACTGGTCAGTGAGCTATGACTGGTGCCTTGGCTCTGAAAGCCGAGCTGGCCTATTTGATCTTTTCTCCGGAGAATTTGAACTGAGACAGAGAAGACTGGAGTTGTAGCTTGATCATATGAGCTGGTGCTGAAAGGTCATGTAGGCTCAGGGCCTAGGGTGGCCCTCCTTGGCTACATGCCAGGAAAGTTAAAAAGAAGCACTGGCAAAGGAGCCAGCAGAGTGAGAGCAGAACACAAGCAGTCAGCAGTTAGAGGTCAAGAATCATGAGAGGGTGACAGGAAGGAACGGGAGTAGCCAGGCCTGTGCTGCTTCTGCTCCAGCTCCCCCCTGCTCCCCCTGCAGGCCTCCTCTCCCAGCTATTTCTGGGTTTCAGTTCCTGGGTAGTCTGTGATCTCCTTCCCACCCCTCCTTTCTCCCCTCCTCTACTCCCTCCCTCCCTCCCTCCCAGGTTTGTGCGTCTTGCATGTCTCTGTCCCTAGCAGCCAGGTTGAGGTTGAGGTCTGGAGACAGACCTGTGCTCCCACTAGAGTCCAGGTCTGCAGGGGCACAGCCAGGAGGCCAGGGGAGGGAACCTTGAGAGCTGTGTGCAGAGGCTGTGGGGTTTTTGCTAATGGCTTCCCGAGAGCCTTAAAGATGGGTGCTGTGAGCCCAGCATCTGACTGCACCATTCTTGGCTTATTACAGTTTTATCAGAGAAGACCTGTACCTTGGCGATCATTAAACCAGATGCAGTGGTCCATGGAAAGACTGATGAGATTATCATGAAGGTAAGAGAGACAACACTTGCCCCATGGACTGTGCTTGAGTCTCCTCTGGTGGGAAAACAGGGTGGGGCATCCTGCAGCAGTGTCCTTCTTAGTGGGGAAAGAAAGCTTTTAAGGGGCTTGAACCAAAATTCCATTTAAGTAAGTTAAAAATTTTAAATCTAATCAGGGAAAGATATGATGAAGATGAGGGTTTCCACTGCTTTTAATGTTGCCTTTTCTATTATCTTTTACTTCTTAATACATTTAAATGTGAATTTGGGCTTGATTTACCCTTTCAGAATATGTGTATATATATTCTACAGATCCAGGAAGCTGGGTTTGACATTTTAACACGTGAAGAGAGAACCATGACAGAAGCAGAAATGCGACTCTTCTACCAACACAGAGCTGGAGAGGTCAGCTCATCCATTTTCATGTGTCCAACCCGCTCTCACTTCTTTCTCTCTCAAGTATATTTATAGGTTGATATTAGTTTGGGAGCAAATAGAGTATTATGCAGAACGCAAATATGAACAGCAAGTGGGCTGGGAGTTGGCTCGCAGAGTAATGACTACAGGCTGCATCAGGCGAAAGTTCTTTGGTTGCAAGGAAGAGATTTTGATTCTACCTTAAGTAATGACATAAGGGATTTATTGAAATGATTCTCCATAACTCCCAGAACCGAGGAAAGAGTTGAACAAGAAGGTATTAAGGAGAAAAACCAAGACAGTTAGTTGTAGGGAATGTCAGGAGCAGAACCTCACGGACAGTCATTTTAGGTGCTGCCGTTGGGGAACTCAGGTTCGGCCAGCCCCGGCTGCAACTGCTTGGCTCATGTACTTGGGAGGGAGGGTCTGGCTGGCCTAGCTTGGGTCACAGCCCACCCTCTCAGGGGAGGTCTGTGTGTATGGAGCTGAGGGGCGTGGATAGGCTTTATGGTTGTCAGCAGACTGGGACCAAGCGATGGGGGAGGGGCTGTTTCCCAAAGGAAGACCAGAGAGCTGTTACTTGAAGAAGGGGGGAGGATTGCAAGGTACTGCAATAAATAAATTAATTAAATACACAACTCTACCCACCCCTTGGCTACCCAGCATCCACATGATTTCCATATATGTGGTCTTTTAAATGCTCCTACCTAATTTATTATAATCTCATGTTCAACCCCAAATGAGTCAACTCAAAGGCTCATCTTCCTGCCTTTAGCTTATACCTGGTTTCTCTGGGTGTGATGGGGTATCACCCCCCCCCGCCAGGGGCCCTTCACCCTGGTGGCCAGGCTGGTGGCCAGGCTGCTCACTGACCCCTCCCATCCTGTGGGTGGGATGGGCCCCGCCGACCCTCTGTAGACCCAGGGTCCCTGCCCTGGGTCCCTGTTTCCCCTCGCTTTTCCAGGAGGCATTTGAGAAGCTGGTACATCACATGTGCAGTGGACCGAGCCACCTCCTGATCCTCACCAGGACTGAGGACACTGAGGACGTTGTCACTGCCTGGCGAACCCTCATGGGACCCTGTGACCCTAACGTGGCAAGGAGGGAGCAGCCTGACAGGTGATAGCACTAGCCGGGTCCTTTCATCCATCTCAGAACCTGCATCCAGGGAAGCCAAGAGCCCTGCCTGATGCTCAGCCCAGAATCATGGGCCCTCTGACGGCCATGCACCCCTTCCTTGTATGTTTGGGGAGACCCTCACCTCCTCACCCTCTGATCCGCTCCCCAGCTCTTCGCAGAGTGCTTCCTGTGATCTGCCTCCTCTGCCCTCCTCTGAAGGCTGCTGTTGGACCCAGTCCTCACTGTTCTCTCTGTAGCCAGAGGGTCCCACAGTGTGGTCCCAGGACCAACTGCAACACTCACCCAAAAAATCCAGATTCCAGGACCCCACCCAGGCCTGCCAAGTCGGAGACTCTGGGTGGGGCCTATGCATTGTAGACTCAGCCCCCTCCCCTCCACTCCCTACCCTGGTGTCCTGAGTGCGAGCACCCTGTTCTGCACTGTGCTAGGCTGCCTTGGTCTGCTCCTTGCCTCTGTGCGTCTCTAGCCTGGCACCACCAATGTCAAATCCGCTGTGTCTTTCCTTTGAAGCTGAGAGAGGTCCAGCCAACAGGAAAGAAATGAGCAAGAGGCTAAGTAAGGGAGGTTGTACCTTGAAGGGGCCAGGAACGTTCATATTTGAGGCAGCCTGGGCTAGCGAAAGACAGCCCAGTGCTCAGATCTCAGGTTACCACATACTCAGGCAAGTCACTTACCAAAGCCTCAGTTCTCTCATCTGTAAAATGGGGATATGAGCATCTATCATGGGAGGCCAGAGTGTCAAGGTTAAGAGATTTCAGAATCACTCTTCTTATTCTTACTGTGTGACCTTGGGCCATGCTTTAATCTCTGCTTCAATTTCCTCATCTGAAAAGTGGGTACTATAATGGGACCTGCCTCAAGTGTTGATGTGAGGATTAAATGAGCATATGTGTATGAAGCACTTAGGACGGTGCTGGACACACAGGAAGTCCTAGCAGTATTAGCATTATCTGATGGGGTTATGGGGGATTAACTCTGCAAACCTATATAAAGCCCTTGGTAGGCTGCCAGCCCCTGGCTGTCATAGCAATAAAATGGCAGATCTGGGCTTACACCACGACTCACACCATTTTTAAACTGGGGCTCATGACAGAGTCTCCCGCCCTGGGCTGTGGCACAAATGAAATGAGAGCATGTATGTGAAGCACCCGGCAGTGTGCCCAGAATGCTGCCTCGTCGGGACAGATGTCAGCTATGTCATCCTGGCTGTTGTTCTTGGCATTTCCAACAGAGAGAAAGCATTTCGCAGAAATGCAGCGTGCTCATTGGTAGCCTCTGACCATGTTGCTAGAGAGCAAAACATTTCTTTTGAAATGAAACAATTGTGTCTTGTATGTTTTGCCAATGCTCCCAGTCTCCGCGCTCAGTACGGCATGGAAATTCCCTTCAACGCGGTTCACGGAAGCCGGGACAGAGAGGCCGCCAGCCGAGAACTGGCTTTGCTCTTCCCCAGTTTTAAGTTTTCAGGCCAAGCTCCGGAAGCCACTCTGGGTAAGTCATGGAGGCAGGTTTGGTCTTTATTAAATCTTTAGTGAATATGTGGGGGGATGGATAATCATGTGGTAACCAAGTCCTCACTCTAATGAGGTCCTGTTCAGAAAACAGGAGCATATGTACCTGCAGGAGCAGCCCTGATCTGTTTGTATTTTCACAGAGTAACAGTACTGTTTTTAAATCTCATTACATTTTTTTGGCTGCATTCTTCTTTTTTTAAAAAAAAATAAAAAAATCTTTATTGATTTCAGGGAGAGGAAGAGAGAGAGAGAGAAACATCAATGATGAGTCATCGATCAGCTGTCTCCTGCACTCCCCCGACTGGGGATCGAGATTGCAACCCAGGCAGTGCCCTGACCGAGAATTGAACCGGGATCTCCTGGATCCTAGGTCAATGCTCAACCGCTGAGCCACACCAGCCGGGCTTTGGCCACATTCTTCTTATTTTGGAGCCATATTTTTGTTGCAAAGTTACTTTGCATTTTCCTGTGGAAGCTGCTGGGAAAATGTAACTTTCTGGGAGCCCACATCAAAGCCAGTCAGAGGCCAGATATCATTCCCTCACTCCCCTGTGCTCCGCAGGCCCCATGCCAGGCTCTTGGTGGGGTCACTGAGCAGGTTACAAGGGCCCTCTGTCTGGAGCCTGCTGTCACCCTCATTATCCTTAGACCCCACATTTTGGGAAAACCGTGCTGGGTCATTACCTCCAAATCTGGGTGAGAAACCTAAGGAGTCCAGAGTGCATGGGACTTACCCCAGCACACAAGTGGGAGAACCGGACCTGGCCCTGCTCCTGCTGCCGAGGTCTGCGTTTCTGGTTGGAGCCTGAGGTGAGGCTCAGGGGGTGAATATCCTGGGGAAGGCAAAGGTTGTGTGTGAGGGGGATTCTTGGGAGAAGGCTGCATGCAGATCTGAAATGGTGATAACTTGTGTGCGCCCAAATATTTGGGTTTTAACCAATATATTTACCTTAATGTTTGATATGTTCGTGGTTTTCTCAAGATCTGAATCCAGCCGAGTAAGAATAGGTGTTCTGAGGACAAGGTAAGGCGGGACAGGTGCTGGCCCTCGTTTAATCCTCACAACTGCCAGCTGTGAGCAAGCTGAGAGTGCAATGGATTTTAGGGAGTTGAGAAGTTGTGGGAAGTACCAAGTTCACACATCCAAGTGCGTGCTGTGGTTCTCTGAAGCCATGCCCCTGACGGAGCGCTCACGCTGGGGATGGCGGCACTGCGAGGGCCAGCTTTCCTGTGGGCACCTGCCCTCAGAGAGCCCACGATGCATTTCCTTAGGTACCCAGGGTCATGGGACATGTTCATCCTCTTTGGAGGGATGATTGGAAACAAGTAGGTCTAACTCAGGTCCAAGGCTGAAGAATAAAGAAAGCGAATTGGCTGGGGAATTCTCATCAAGGCTGTTGGGAGAGTTGGGGGATCATGAGGCTGACTTTTGGGCCTCGGGTGATAATGAGCACAGGGGACAATTCTAGACGGGTCTGTGCCCAGATCACATCCCGGGAATGAGCGTACAGCCTCCTGAGGGCATGACTGCAGCAGCCGTGTGGATGTTCTGCCCCCTTGTTTGATGTGTCCTGCCTTCTCAGTTGTCAGGAGCAGTGTGCTTTCAACTTACCCAGCACTTTTTCTGATAAGGGGCAGGGGTCAAGGACACTGGAGACAGGTAATCCTGGGTGTGAATCCTGGCTCCACTATTTACCAGCTAAATAGCCTCTGGGAAGTTATTTACCTTTTTTGGGCTTCATCTATGAAATGGAGATGACAGATCCATTATAGTCCCATAATAATACCTCTGTAATAATGATCTTTCCTGTGGGGCTGTTGTGAAGACGAAAGGAGACAAAGGGTGTCAAGTTCTTAGCCTGGTGCCTGGCACATATTAAGTGTAGAACAATGGACCGGGACAGGGCTGTTTCAGAAATCCTACAGAGCCTGTCGTCCCACAGACCACGAGGAAGAGTGAGCAGTGGGCCCCACCGAGGTGCTGCCCTTCCCTGAGGATGCGGATTGAGGATATGCTGCCTCCAGAGCACAGGACCCAGGGGCGTGGCCGGAAAGTGAAACGTCAGTGCATCGTCTGCCGCGCTTAAGGAAACCTCTAGGACTGGATCTTACTCTTTTTGAGCACCAATGCTTTTTTAGTTCAGCCGTCTTTCACGAATAATAAAACATAGTTTCCTGCCTTATTAAACTGTATATAGAATATATACTTTTGGGGGGGCTATTTTTGGGATTTTACAAAATAAGTGGGCGCCAGTTATTGTCCTCTGCTGTGTCATCTCGGGGAACACAGTTACACAGCACAGTGTTTCCCCAATAATGAATCTACTTTATGAATGAAACAATTTTAGAGTGTCACTTGGTAACTGTGAACTTGAAAACAGTGCAACAGGATTGGCTATGACCCTGCCAGGCATACTAACTCGGAGGCAGAGATAAAGGCTGGCTCTAAATCTTGCTGCCTGTCCACGCCTCACAGGGGCCCTGTGATGCTGCCAGGTCTGCCATCCCGGTCCTTAGTAAATCAGGGTGTGTTCGTGAAGTAAGGATTGGGGTTACGTTTGGAACCAGGTTTATCTAGTTTTCTTGACACTCCCTTCCCTCACTTTTTTGATTTCTGATTCTGGTTAAAGCCTAACTTGAAAACCAGGTAGCCTCCAGCTTTCACTAAATTGCCCAGTTTTGCTGTCCCTCCATGGTTGTGCCCTTGAGGGATACAGGTTTCAGTAAAAAGCAACTATTATTACCCCATGAATATTAACATGCACAGCCATTCCCTCTTACCAGTTTGCTCTTTGGTTTATTTGTAAATTCATTAAGCCCAGGCATAATCTCTCCAGAGAGCAAAAGGCCGTGTTCTACATCACGAGGCAAATGTCAGCAATTTCCTTCTCATTTGCTGGTTTTCTCCAGAGAACTTTGCTCCGACTTGAAGTTCTTTACATGGGCAGTTAGCCCCCAGGAGACTGCTCTTCATGGGTGCACTACTTTCTGCAGCCTGTAGCATAAGGCGCTCTGTGCTGGCGCTGGAGACAGACGGATGAGTCGGGCTGCGTGAGTGGAGACAGAGCCACTGCATGATGGAAACACGCATGCCCACAGTGCTCATCAGCATCTGCACAGGCCCCGTGCGAAACAGTGGAGCTGTCTCTGGCAGGACATATCAGGAAAGTTGGATCCACTGTTCCAGACCCCCGGACCCCTAGCCCACCATGGGGTTGTGCTCTTCCCTTTGCGAGTGGGCACAAGAGGGGGACTCGATTGTTCTGTGCCCACCTCAGAGCTGGCAAATGCCTTGGAGAATCACTCAAGCCCTATGCCTGGTCTTCCACACCATGGGCGCTGTGTGGCTCTGAATGAGCTGCTTGGGGGTGCACCCAGCTGACAGCTGTCTGATCTCCCCATTAGCTAGGAAGCCAAGGATCTTCCAGCACTGGAGAGAGATGAGAAATGGAGCAGGGGAGAGAGAGGAAGTTAGGTGAGAACTGAGCCTGGGGTATGGGGGCAGGTGACGTCTGTTGGTGTCTGTGACCATTGTAAGCCTTCCCAGGAAGTAGCTGGGAGTTGCAGGGCTGGAGGGAGAAAGCAGGGGGCACCAGGTGACAGGGCTAGAGTGGGAGGAGTGTTGACACACCCTTCCTTCCTTTATGTAGTAGGGCATTTTTCTTAGAATCCAGGTTTTTCCTGGCTGGTGTTGCTCAGTGGTTAGAGCTTCGCCCTGTGCACTGAAGGGTCATGGGTTCGATTTCCCACAAGGGCATGTACCTGGGTTGCAGACTCGATCCCTGGCCCCAGTTGGGGAGCATGCAGGAGGCAACCAATTGATGTGTGTCTCACATGGTTCTCTCTCCCCTCCCCATCCCTCCCTCCCCCTTCCACTCTCTCTAAAATATCCTCTGGTGAAGATTAAAAAAAAAGAAAAAGAAAGAATCCAGAAGGTTCATGGCAGAAGGAATGGAGGTGGTGGGGGTTAGGAGAGAGAAGGCTCTGAAGCGTGGCTAAAATGTCAGCCCGCTCTCTGATGATGGAACTCCTTGGCAGAGATCCTGGGCCTTGCTTCCTCCAACAGAAGAAAACCAGGGGCTGCAGGATGACCGCTGTTCTGGGTGTTAAAGCCTCCCAGCTCCCAGGGTGAGTCCCTGACAAGCTGGAGGGCAGGCCCAGCCCCACTAAGTCAAGGATGGCTCCTTTCTAAGGAAGGGCTCTGGCCCTCCACTAAGTGAGAGGGTTGACTGCCTGGCAGACAAGGTCAGGAGCCAGGGGCTGCAGAGATAGAGGGGGAAAGAAAGGCAGATGGCTCAAGTAGGTCACATATGGCCCTTGGGGTGTGTGTGTCCCCCTTAGCTTTCTCCGCCGAAGCTAGGTCATGGCCCTCATGCAATTGATATGTGCCTCTGCTCAGCAATCAGGAAAAGTCAGTGCAAAGGGGCAGGGCTGGGGCAACACCAGCCTCTATCCCAGGCCGCAAAGTGTTGGGATTGCTTCCTGTAGGCTCTTCATCAGGATCTGGGGTCAGTCCCCCTTTCCTCTCCTTCTTTCTCAGGCCTCAATTCCACGTTTCCTCTGTGACAGGGTTATTCCCTCCCCTGATAATCATCTCACCATCCTCCCCCAACACACTGGGGGCAGGTGTCCTTGGCTTTCTTTCTGTTTCTAGTGAGACCAAGATAGATGCTTCTCTACATTTTAGAGACAGGACAAGAAGGAGGCACAGTGAGTGAAGTGCCTGTAGGTCCTTGCAGAGGGATGGCAGCGGCTCGTGCACGGTGCAGCTGGTCATTTGCCAGTCTCTGGGACCCAGTCCAGGTGGCAGCGGAGCGTGGCATACTAAGGGGAAGAAGAAAGGACGGAGGGGGGTACACAACATTGGGGGAATCCTGGTGGCTGGGAGTGGCCATCTGTAAAAGGTCTGCTAGCCTTTAGGAGGCCAGGAAGAAAGGGGCCCGAGACTGCTGCAGAGGCCCCTAGAAGCTGTAGTCACCCTCGGGCACCAGCTGCCCCCTCAAATGCAATCACTTTCCAGTTTCTCATTCACCAAGAATCACAGGTTGCAGAAGCCAGTACACATTACCTTCTAATGTTTCCTAAGGTTCTAGACATTTGGAAACAGACTCCTTTACAGAAGTTGCCATGATCTTTCTTGGCTTTTATTAGCATGTGTTAAAATCATATTATCCAAACACTACCAGGAGAACACGTATCGTTCCGCATAAAGTGCTCAAGGAAAAAAATGCAACTTATTCCATTGGACATTCTTTTCTAGTTCATAAGTTTTGGGTTACAATCAGGGCACAAAAGGAGAAACAGATGCAGTATGAGAGAGAGCGAGAAGCTTAGTTAAGAACTTGGGTGAAGACACAAGATCATGTCCCATTCCTCCCACCTCCTTGCTGACTGCACACTGCACCTGTGTAAAGCAGCAAACAGCTTTGTTTTAATAAATACATTTTCCTTCATTCAAAATCAGAAAAGTTAATTATAGTAAAGCACTTTTTCTTTGATCATCTGTTTATAGCCACAGGCAAGATTTATCCACAGAGTTTAATTGTGAAAGTATTATTTCATTGGGCCGTTAGCTTTCTAATGCTATCTGGGTTCAAGATTGTCACAGCAATTCATTATAGGTTACTGTATATTTACCTGGTACTTTTAAATACCAACTCTATAGTGTTTTGTGTTCCAACTGCCAACCAAGGATGTCCTCACATTAGCACACTGATAGCTGCACAAAACCCAAGTGCCTGTTGTGACAGATTTTTAAATCAATGATGTTCTGAAAAAATAACAACTTGGAAATCTCTGTGTTTGAATCTTGGGTGGTCATGTTGAGAACAGGAAAAATTGCATTAAATACATTTAAAAACATTCATTTGCAATCAAACATATTTGACTCTTCCAAGGAAGGTACAGGTTGGTGACAGGGTGGCTGTGACGCGAGCAACCTCATTGGGAGTGGCTGGTTGGCCTGGGTCCCCGTCAGTGGCACGCGCTCATGGCAAGCTTCTGGGCCACAGACCTCACTTCCTGGCCACAGTGCCTTTGACCTTCTTTTAACAAAGGGAAAGGAAGGCTGGTTCTACCTTCAAACAGTCAAGAGCAACCTCTGTTGAGTTCACCTTGAAGCTGACCCAGCTGTTGGAGCAGGGGTAAGGGATGCAGAAGGGCGAGGCAGTACCCACTGTGAAAAGAACCCATCTTCGGTCCTCCTGCAGAGCGTCCCCTTCCTTCTCTCAAACTTCAGTGCTTTTGACTTCTTGCAGGGAAAGATCTTAGCCGCATCTCTCACTAAAATTCCTATTTCATTTTACAAAAGGACACTCAGTAGCAGTCCCAAGTGACTAGTATGGAATTCGCTGTGTATCACTAAGGGAAAAACAGCTTCCCACACTCTTCTGCTTCTTTCCACAGATGGGTCTGAGGAACATTCTCTAGTTTCACAGTGACGTCTGCTGTTTCAGGAAGCACAAGGTGACGGGGCTTTGCTTCCAAGAAGTGATGAGCTACTTTAGCTTGAGCACAAGGTTCTACAACTGGTTCTAAATCCTGCCAGGTGCTGCTACACCAGTGACAGGACTGAGGGCAGTTGGGAGGCGCTCGGTGTCCAGTTCCTGCCGAGGGTAGTCCACCAGTTATGGCTGGGCTTTCACTATCAGTAGTTATATTTCCCTCTGATGTTTCAAAAAAACCTATGGTGAATCTGTCCCCTCACTCTCCTCCACCCTGTCCATCTGACTTGGAAGTCTGAGAGCTTATTGAATTAGGCTGATATTGACGGCAGTAAGATGCTCACTATTTTGCACAGCACCATATATCATGCCTGTTATTCAGGCCAACTATAGCCAAACCTTTTCTTTTTCTTTTCTTTTTTTTGTTGTTTTTTTTTTTGTTTTTATTCTTTTATAAAGAAAATCTATTTAAGTTGAGGTTCAGAAATGCATATAGCTTTTACTTACAAATATTCATCT